ACAGGAGACACACATCCTAGCCGAGTCTTCAATTTTACTCTCATCATTGCATCCTTCATCAATAGCATAGGTGATTCATAGTCTTTCTAACAACTCACAAATATTCCTAGTGCAAACTAGGGCAGAAAAGTTTCTTTTCTTTTGTTTATTTTGCTGTAGTAGCAGGCTCCCACCCGGAGAACGAGGGAAGTTATTTTAGAATTCAATTCAAGTTAAAAGTAATAGAAGCTCGCCTGAAGAATGCGAGCGATAGTCCAAGATGACCAAAAGAAGAAGTCTCAATCCAGAATAAAAGAAAAAAAAAGTGAATCCAAAATGCAGGAGAAGATGAAAGATGTGAATTGCTCAAGACATGGCTGAAGTCACAAGCACTACATGCTCGGTCTTGATCTGAAGAAGCCGTGGAAGAATGAACCAGCACCTGCAGCTAGCAAGCATCAAGGTTCAAACCAAAAGTCTGGATGAAGAACAATTCATGACACAGGATCGAGTTTCAGAAGACTTACAAATAGGAATCTTGTAACTCATAGCTAATAGGCTTATTTAGTTCCTTAGATTTCGATTTTGATGTAATGGCAGGGACCGCGGACCATGAGCCTCGATGACACTTCATTCGACTCTCCACCTCGGTATCGTTCTCCATTTTCTCTACCTCTAAACTACACGTGGCTTGATTCCTTTATAGCCAAGGATATGTAGGCAACCTTTGAAGAAAGGTTCGGTCAAACTTTTTCAAAACGCTTCCCATAGAGTATCCAAACGGGCAAAAATTACTCGAATTTTCTCAGAATTCAATTCAAGTTAAAAGTAGCAGAAGCTCGCCTCAAGAATGCAAGTCGACAGTCCAAGATGACCAAAAGAAGAAGTCTCAATCCAGAATAAAGAAAAGGAAAAAAAAAAGAAGTGAATCCAAAATGCAGAAGAAGATGAAAGATGTGAACTGCTCAAGACATGACTGAAGTCACGAGCACTACATGTCCGGTCTTGATCCGAAGAAGCTGTGGAAGAATGAACCAGCACCTGCAACTAGCAAGCATTAAGGTTCAAATCAAAAGTCTGCCCGAAGAACCATTCAAGACACATGATCAAGCTTCAGAAGACTTATAGATAGGAATCTTGTAACTCATAGCTAATAGGCTTATTTACTTCCTTAGATTTTGATTTTGATGTAATGGCAGGGACCGAGGACCATGAGCCTCGACGACACTTCACTCGACTCTCCACCTCGGTATCTTTCTCCATTTTCCTTACCTCTGAACTACACGTGGCCTGATTCCTTTATAGCCAAGGATATGTAGGCAACCTTTGAAGCAAGGTTCGGTCAAACTTTTTCAAAACTCTTCCCATGGAGTATCCAAACGGGCAAAAATTGCTCGTATTTACTCACTTTATCTTTGCCCGAAAACTCTTCGTGTTTTCGAGCAAAGAGAGGCAGCTGTGAGCACTTGATTTTTGCCCGACTAAAAACACACCTACAAAAGTCAAAAATAGATTTTTCTAATTATTTCAATTTTCATAGAATTTTTAGAAATTTCTTGTTAATTGTTGTTTGCTTAACATTTTTAAAATTATAAGATATATCAAAAAATGCCTATCTAACCACCACTCTATAGAACTTGCCTTTAAGCTTCGGTGGAACTTTCTCGTCACATAGGACTCCAGATACTATCCTCCATTTCATTCATCCCACTCTTATATGGTGCGTGACATCCTCGTCAATCTCCAATCCCTCTAGATAATAGGCCCAAGGTACTTGAAACTTCCTCTCTTGTGAGTCAAGCCTTCCAAGTCCGCTTCTCTCGACGCATCGCTAAACTTACAATCCAAATATTATGTCTTAGTCCTACTCAATTTGAAACCTTTAGACTCTAGGGTCTGTCTCCAAACCTCCAGCCTCCCATTAACACTGCCTCGCGTCTCATCAATCACAACTATAAAGTGCTCCGAGTCACCTCCCACAGTCCTAACCCGAGTCTTAGCTCCCTCGTACATGTCCTTTATCGCCCTAATGTACGCTACCGACACACCTTTCACCTCCAGACATCTCCAAAGGACCTTCCTAGGAACCTTGTCATATGCTTTTTCTAGGTGAATAAACACCATATGCAGATCCTTCTTCCTATCTCTATATTGTTCCACCAATCTCCTGATAAGACGGAGTACTGTTCCAATAAGTGGGTCTTTAATTAAGTAGGATATTTAAAAAGAGATAAAGGCTAATTTAGATATATATTCTTGTGATTAAAACTATTAAACATTCTTCCAAGTGCACAAAAACCTTAAATGACATATAATATGGGTCATAAGCGTGTTTGGTAGATGACATTTACCAATTTATATACCAAACTTAATAATTTTGAGTTTTTTTATTTTTAGCCTGCCTCAGAAATTATTTACATTCGGTAGCCGAAAAAATATAGTATAATTTTTGTATATAACATACAGAATGTATATATATACAAAAGATATACATCTTTTGGCTATTATTTCGAGAGCGGTTATACATTATCATTTTCTCATATATTGGTCAACTGCTAATATAGGAAACTTTTAAAAAATTATATTCCGACTTATTTTATTAATATAACGTTTGTGCTAATACTTGTAGACTAACTTATTACTCTTTGGAAAAAAAATTATTACTCCATTTTGTACTTAAAGTTTAATATACTAATTTTCTCCTACACCTTTAAGTGATATATATATCATAATCAATTTCAAATATGCGGGTTTGGAGTTGAAATCGTGAGTCTAAAATTTTTAAATAAACCTTCGGATTTGAAGTTAGGATCTGCTAAAGCCTAACTTAAGACATCAGAGTCTAAATTTGACCATTGACTTTCAAATTTCAAACCTTTGGGTAAGAAGAAGAAGAATTCAATTTGCCAAAACTGACTGATAAAGCTTAACTTCATACCCGAAGATTTAAAGAAGAAAAAGAAATAGCAACAGCAGATTTAGCCCCCATTTGGTCGTAGATGCCAAGTTTTTTCCAATTTTTTTTTGGTAAAACATGTTTATTTATAGATTTTATCCATATTTTAGTAGATTTTGAAAAATAAAATTTCCAAATCCCAAAAGGGATTTTTTCCTTCCTATACAATATTTGAAACTTATTTACTAAAATTGTCCATGTTTTGTATATTACCCGCCCTAAATAAGTTTTTCTTACAATTTATATACAATCCGTTATTAGTGTCTTAAATTGGGGGATTCTTTACTTGGAAAATGGCGTAACTAAAGGGGATGAAGTTTAAATTGTCCTTCCATCTAAATAAGACTCCTTCCAGTTTTGTATTACCTATTTTAAATCATGATTAGTGCAACTCTTATCTCTCTTTGCCATAATTATCTATTTTAATAAAAGAATAATATATGGAACAATCATACAAATTAAAAACAAATTAAAAATAAACTTCATACAAATTTAATACGAAAATTACAACAACATACATACTAAAAATTGATTTCATACGACTAATTATATATTATACAACTTATCTACAACTTTCATACATCATACTTACCTAGTTAAATACAACTACAATATCATACAACTTAAATACAAATTTCATACAAATTTTATGCAATATGTCTTTTGTATGTATTTTGTATATAATTTGTAGTATATATTTTGTATGCGGTGTGTTCTTCTGCTTCTTCGGAATTTCAATCTGAAAATCCAGCCAATTCAACTCTAATTTTTACCAAATACGCTCAAAATAAAGATATAAACTCCATAGAATACTCCCAATCGTTTGCAATAACACCCAATCCAAACAAAAAAAAATATTTTTTAAAATTCGAATTCGAATTCAAAGCTTCAAAACTTTTTAATGATTGTCAATGGTGGAGAGTCAAACTCCTTCAAAATTTATAGATTGACAATTTCAATTCGAACAATCCAGCCAAATAAGTAATGTACATCTACTGCTAGCCCAACACCAACAAGAAAAGGGAATGCCCAGAAAAGCTCCTACTCCAACCATGATAAAATTCAAATTGATAAAAAAATTAATCCCTTTCTTCGTCATTATTAGAGAAAATTACGAGCTTTATAAGAAAAATCTTATAGAATCGGTGTACAAAGAGGGTTGATTTCAAAGAGAGAATGAGAAAAATCCTCTAGAAAGATAGGATTTGTCTGGGTAAGTAAGGAATTGTGAGGATTTTTAGAGATTTACAAAACTAAAAGGCTACAATCAAGGGATACTCATTTAAACTAATTTGTATATAATTAGTAATTGTATTTGACTATGTAATTAAGTTAAAATTTGATTATTAGGGAGGGTAAATAAGTTTCGTATGTATTATAGGTAGGTAAGTTCTGGGGCCTATTTTTGGCCCAAAATATTATTGTTGGATCTTTTAACAATTTCATAAATTACCCCAACTTTTGTATTTTATAAAATATCCCACCATCTATTATGACCCAACTAATCCACAAGCTAATTACTATAATTTTCTTTTGGACTGGTGAATCTTGTAATATTATTATAATTTGACGAATTATAGTGGCTAATACTTGTGTTATTAGCAATTGATATTAAAATATCAGGTTATGGTTTTAGGATAGTGTATTATGTAGTTCATTATAAAAATAATAATTTTGTGCCAAACTTATTTATGTTCAGGACTATGGTTTGTGATAATGATAATGAATGGTATCGATGAAGGTTCTGCATATACATGATTAGAAAGTTTGTTTGTTTGGTATTGTTGGGTATTTTTAATATTTTTTAGAACTTATGGGTATAGTCACATTTCATGTTTTTTTCAAAAAAAAAAATAGTGAAATGTGTTTTGGAAAAGTATGTCCAAACAGATTTTATCTTCAAATTAAACTTCACCCATATCAGGTTTTTTATAATAAATTTGAAAATTTATGGCCAAACGCTAGCTTAGTCTGAAGTTTGTCAAAATGACTAAATTTTAAATAGTTTGAAATTTTATAGGCGTACTGAGACGAAAAAAAAGGGCACGCTACAAGTGGCTACTTGGTGTCAACCTCCAGCAGCTCCAAAGTCCAAACCATTAACCCATTTGAAGCTACCCGTTTAAACGCGCCATAGAACTAAACCTACACAACCGCCGGTTGCCGCCCATACCAGCCACCTCCTTCTTTCACGTTCGCCCATTTTCTGTCACATGTGAAATTTGTTCATTAAAGTGAGCAGCAGATGCGGAGGTAAAATTTGAAAAGTGAAACATTGGCGGCAACTTTACTAAACTCACCAAAAGGTAAGTTATTTTCGTTGCTTTTAAATTTATTCATCAATTTCTAATGTTATATGATCTATATTTCTTTTGTATTTTTCTACGGAACAAAAAAAGTTAATGTTGATGATAACAAAAATGGGGTTCTGGTAAGTTTTTATTTGTTGCAAATTAAGTTTTGAGCTAAGAGCTAGCGAAGAGAGTAGGTAGTTGAAGCCACAGGAGCCTATGTGTTGTTTGGAAAAGAAACTCAAGCTGAATCATCTCAGTTTTCCTATTATCTTCACACACACCACCTGTTTGATGGAATTCCCAACGGGTTTCTCTTGAACAAGCTAACTTTTTGAGTACTCTGGGAACAATTTCAATGAAGTGGTTTGTACTGGAATTCTCATTGAGGGGGCTATCCTTTCTTGTATATTGAGGTTTGTGCACGCCTGTCCTAATTTTTGGTAAACAAGTACCTACCCTTTGTATAATATCTGGTTATTTTGGTAATGAGTGTTGGGACTTCACTTCTAGACATGTACATGAAAATAGTGAACGGCGAAGATGGGCAGAGAGTGTTTGATGAGATGGAGCACGAGAAAGTTGCGACTTTGGACTTTGTTGCTTTCAGATTGTTCGGGCAATGAGCTGGTTGATTGAGCTTTACAAGTGTTCCATATGGCGTCAATTGGAAGAATTAAGCCTAACACGTTTACTTTCACTACAGTTCTTGGAGTTTGGCTGATAAACGTGCATTTGAATAAGGAATTCAAGTGCATATTGTGGTCATCGGATGTGCTTTATACGTGTATAACATTCCTGGGAATTCTTGATTAGATTGTATTTGAAGTCCGGGATGGTCAAAGGGGCTACAACTGTATTTGGAAGTATGGCAATAGGAGTGAAAATGGCCTGGTAAGTGATAGCTGGTCTTGTGACTAATGGCTCTATGCTGAAGCACTTAAGTTGTTCCACATGATGAGACTTGTAGCTCTAAGGTCACGTTACAAAGATCAGGTAATATTTAGACCATAATATTAGAATGTCACTCATGGTCTCTTACACTAAGTGTGGGAAATTGATGATACCTTCATGTTGTTCTCTATTATGTTATATGTATAGATTTTTGTATGGGTCTCTACTATGCATAGATTTAGTAATGTTGTTTTTTGGATGGACAAAGTTACTCGAGACAAAAAATACTAGGTGATTTCTTCCTATCTGTCTAAGCTTTGATGGACAAAGTTACTAGATACCTGTGATGATGGAAGGTAGCATGTACCTAGTATAGTTGAGATGCGCAAAAGCTTACCTGGACACCACAATTATCAAAATGTGCAGAATAAATTCTGGGCTTAAGTGAGCAATGATCTACTTTATCAAATGAAAAAAAGGGACGGTATTAGACCAAATGGTTTCACTTATTCAACTATTTTTGCAGCTCATCCCTCTATTTCGTTGTTCAAAGCGCATGAAGAAGTCCTAAAAACCAAGTACCAGGGCTCACCTACAATAGGAAATGCTTCATTAGACGTGCATATGAAAACAGTAAATACTGGTGAGGCTGCAAAAGTTTTTTGATGAAATTGATGAGGACATTATTTCATGGTCTGCTATGATGTCCTGGTTATGCGCAGAGAGGACACACTCAAGGTGCTGTTAATGTTTTCCGGAAATTAGCCAAAAGTGGGTTCAGGCCAAATCAGTTTACCTTCCATGGCATCAGTGGAGCAAGGAAAACACTATCATGCAAACTCAATAAATCAGGTTGAATAATGCCTTACGCGGGAGCATTACCCTGGTGACTATCTACACTAAAAGGGGGAACATAGAAAGTGCAAATGAAATTTTCAAGAGACGACAAGAAAGAGACTTAGTTTCTGCATTTGAGGAAATGCAGAAAAAAGTGGACAATATAACTTCCATCAGAGTTATTTTGCCTGTACTCATGCAGGACTGCAATGAAGGTCAAAATATTTTGACATGGTGGTTAACGACTTTTATATGGAGATGTACTCGTGCATGGTAGACTTGTATAGGCGAGCTGGTATGCTGGATTTAGCGATGGCTCTCATCAATGAAATGCCGTTTCCTGCTGGTGCAATTGTATGGCATACTCTCCTGGCAGCAAGCAGAATTCACAGCAATGTAGAGCTTGGGAAACTTGCAGCAGAGAATCTCATTTCCCTTCAGCCTCATGGCTCAACAACATATGTCCTAGTAACTGGAAATTGGAAAGAGGGAGCAAAAGTACGAAAACTAATAACTGTGGAACAGTTAAAAAAGAAATTGGATGTAGCTGGATTGAGATTAAGAACAAGACGCAATCATTCATCGAGCCTGATGTTTCACATCTCTTAGCTGATGAGATATGCATGAAACTTGAAGATTAAGTGTTCGATTGAAGGACACAGGATATCAACTGGCAAATTCTGTTCTTCATGATGTGGAAGAACTCTGGATATAAGCCACTTCCACCATTCGTATTGTTTGTTCTCCTTGTTACTCACACTTTGTCCTTACGATATTGTAGTAGTTTGAACTTAGGAAAACCTGCAACTCTCAACTGTATTGTAACTTGTAAGGTTGAAAGGTATATATATATATATATATATATATATATATATATATATATATATATATATATATATATTTTGATAAGTTATGAGTTAAAAATAAGATTCATAACTTTCTTTTGTTCAGCTGATGATGATATTTATCTAAAGACCATGAAAGTTGCAACTTCAGTGAGTTCTAATCTCAGCTCTTGGGAGGAGAAATTTTTGATGAGGGGCTCAATTTTTTTTTCATAAACTAATTACACATCTTTTTATCAGAGCTGATATGAGCGATCCGGCAAGTGAATCAAATGACACACATTCAAGCTCTCAAGAAGCTCAGAAGCCCCAGATTGAGCCTATTCGGATGCCTACAGTGGAGGAAATAAGGGGCCAAGACATTTGGAATAACTGTGCAGTTCGTAGTGTTGTTAGCGGAGTCATGGGTATGTTTTTATACAACACAAGGCACGGTGGATTTGTCTCCTAGTTGAATTAATTTTTGTGTCTTATTGTTGAGTGTTTTCCTTAATGGATGGAATGTCCAGAATGTCATTCTTGCAATACCTTAATTAATGGATGACAATAGTTCATCTTATCGAAAACAATGGATGACTATAATTCTATGTGTGATGTCATAATTATGTTACAAGACTCGAGAGGTAATCCCAGAGACATTTTAAACTTCATCCTGTTGCTATGGCTGATAGTCTCTTGTACTCCTTTAGTTGGAATAGAGAATGAGAAAGCCTGATTCCAGCTAGCTTACAGCTTCTATCAAGTATCAACTGATACTGTTATTTAATAGAGTCTGTTTTCAGATCCTCTATTTGTGTCAAATTATATTAATATCTTTCTGGTAGTTTTCTTAAAACACTATCTTTGTGGTTGTTAATGGCCTTTGCTGTGGATTACTTCTTCGGTTCATTTATTGACGCATTGTTTTTGTTTGATAGGAGGGGGGCTTGGGTTGTTCATGGGTCTGTTTCTAGGGGCACTGGATAACCCAATAATGCAAGAGGAAATGACAACAAGGCAACAACTTGTATACCAAGCAAAGCAGATGGGTCGGAGGAGTTGGAGTTCCTGCAAGACTTTTGCTGTTATGGGTTTGGTTTTCTCTGCTGCTGAGTGTGTCGTTGAGAAGGTACTTTTGATCCTTAGAGAGGATAACCATATGAAGTTCTGCAGCTCTCATTCTACAAAATCCTCTTAATTTTTTGAACCAAGGATGGAAGTCATTTTCACAAATAGAGTCAGATACTTTTCAATTCTAAAACTCAAATGTCATAAGTAATTTTTCTTGTACTATGTTCATAGGCACGGGCAAAGCATGACATGACAAATACAGCAGTTGCAGGGTGTGTAACAGGAGGTACATTATCAGCTAGAGGTAAGATTTGGTACTTTGACCCTGCAAAACATATAAAAAACGAATCTTCAGTAAATATATTTTTATATCTTGCATCCATACTCGATTCATATATTTTTGGTCTAGATAGAGTGACATGGATAGTGAGAATCATATAGAGACAACCAGGGGAGTAGTGTCATACCAAAGAAAGCAGAAGAAGGGATTTCTGTAATTCATACCATGCAAAAAAGAAAGACGAAATCAATTGTTTAATGGAAACTTTTCCACAAAGAAGTTTCAGCTACTTAAAGTTAGAGTGCGTCCAAAAATTCGAGATTTTTAAATGATTGGACCGCATTACTTTATTATAAGCCGCATATAGAAGGCAGGTGTGCAAGGTGAGGTGTTCTACTGATCACGTGGCAGGCGTAAGACCCATGAATTTTTAACTTAAAATATTGGTAAAATAAGAATAATATGTGAGGGCTCCATACAAAGTGGCATGTTTTATTTGGATAGTTTCATATGCGGCATGCTTTACATTTTACAATGGACAACTTAGAGAAATGGGGACTCCAGAGCTGCAACATATGTTTTTTGTGCGAAAAAGAACATGAAGGATATATTCGAGATGATTCAACTATGGCACATGTTTTAGAATATCTTTGGATTTAAGTTGGTCTATGCCTAAAACACTGAAGGAACTGCTTACCTGCTGGAACATCAAGGGCATCGATAAAAAACAAAGGAAGCATGCCTAACCATGCCAGCTTGCATATGGTGGACCGTTTGGAAAGAAAGGACTTTAAAATGTTTTGAGAATAGGAAAGAGCTCATTTGCAAGATCAAGTTAACTGTATTGTTTTGCATTCATTTTGGTGCATACAGGAGTTTAGTGAAGATGCTGATAGATAGCTTCGTAAAATTTAGTAGCTCCATTCTGAATTAAGGAATGTATTCCTTTGCTTTTTGCTACAATCTTAGTGCTGCTTCATCAATAAAATCATACTTTCACGGATAAAGAAAAAAAAAGTACGTGTAAAATGTAAAGTAAAGTATCTCAATGGTAGATAATGTTAAAATTTGTGCAAAACCCAGACTTTGAGGAGTTTATTGCGTGTCATCATTCACCTAATTTGGTTTTAGACAGTAGACTGCATTATAGTGGACCAGATGGGGCAAAGATGGTTGTCAACTTTATCCTATCGGGACCCTATGGAGTCATCATTTTCTCTTTTCTTTTTCCCCGGTTATAGATTTTGACTTTTTTGTGATAGTGAATGCAAAATTTGCTTGAAGAATTGAGCCTTTCTGTTGTATAAGTTACTGCTTGTCTGTGACTGATGAAGCATGTATTTTGGCTGTTTGCTATTTGACTTATTCTTTTTCCAAATTGACATTGTGGTCTCCTTCATTTTAGGCATTTTTATTTTGATAACATTACTAAACCATAAGGCTCGGAGTATTTTATACTGTTTATATATTCTCCTTTCGAAAAATTACACTAGTTCAGGTTTGGCTGCAATACACTAAGCCAGATGGGGAGAAAGATAGTTGACAGTTTTATCTTATCTGGGTCTCTTGTAGCTGACAAGCACATAACTACGTTTTTCAACCCTCATGACCTCCACCATAATTAGAATTCCCATACTAATGAGTGCACTGCAGATAGTTGTTTTCTCCTAAACTAGTTCAGGGAATAGGTTGCAGTATACTGAGCAAGATGGGAAAAGATTGTTGACATTTTTGTCCAATTCGTAATCAGAATCATCTGTCTCTCTCTCCGTCTCTCTTTGTCACGACCCAAATCTCAACATGTCGTGATGGCGCCTATCACGATACTAGGCAAGCCGACAATCACAAAATAGTTACGCATTTTAATTTAAAAGCATGATATATTGAGTTTAACAGTAGATAATGGAAATCTCATAAATAGCCGGAAGGAATAACTGCGACTCAAATACAAAATCCCAAAGATACCGGGTGTCACCGAGTACATGAGCTACTAAGTGCCAACACAGTCTAAATCTCTAATACATATGTCTGACGGATAGAACCGTACAAAATAAAAACCGAAAAGAAGGAGAGTCGAGGTCTGCGGGCCTCAAAGCAGCTACCTAATAGATACTGCTCCGAGTCTAGCAACCACCGAGTCCAGATGTACTTGGATCTGCACACGAGAGTTAGTATGAGTACAATCGACCCAATATACTCAATAAGTAACAAGACTAATATTGGGCTGAAAGCAGTGATGAGCTCAGAATGGTACAGTCCAAATCCCAATAATAACAGTACAAGTATAACAGGGAAATGACAGTAATACTCAGAGAAATTTCATAATCAGTTTGTACACAATACAGAAACGTAGACATTCTTTCAAGTTTAACAGTTTAAGCTCAACACTGATAAAATATGCCAAGTATAACTGATATGAGGAATGTTGCATCTCTATATCTACATGTCAAATGTGCATGTAACATGTAATGCATCACAGTGATAACTCATGTACTCACACTCTCAAAGTACTCAATCTAACTGTCACAACTCTCACTCTTCACACTTCCACTTAACACTGTAAAGTACCTGTGCTCACTGCTGGTATGTGACTCCGGAGGGGCGCATCCTACCCAAACGCTAATATAAAGCCAATATGGCCCGTTGTGGCGTGCAACACGATCCCATAATAATAGATAAAGCCTATAAGGCCTGCTAAGGCACACCCCAATCCATATAATAATATATATAAAGCCAAGAAGGCCTGCTGCAGCGTGCAGCCCGATCCACAACCTCACTCACAACACGGATCTCAGGCCCCAACTTAGTCATCAATCTCTCCGGTCTCTCGGGCTTACAAATCTCATGCCAATCAGCCCAAACAATGATACATGATGTAACAATAAATAACAACAGAGACTGAGATATGATATGCAAATGATGGATGTGACCGAGTACATAATTGCAATTTTAGCAATTAATTCAACAGCAAAAATAACCTCAATGGGTCCCAACAGAAGAATCATATAGCCTAAACATAATTTCTAATATGGATTGCAGCTCAATTACTCTAACACGTAGGGATTACATAAATAGCAACAAGGTTTGATAACTACACAGTGCCACAGAAACAACGAGTCACAATTATCACAGTACACGCCACATGCCCGTCACTTAACATGTGCATCACCTGAACACCAACTACATAACATGTATTTCAGGGATTCATACCCTCAGATCCAAATTTAGAGGTGTTACTTACACTTACCTCAAACCGCGCAAATCTCTACCCCAAGAAGCCCTTGCCTCGCGAATCGGCCTCCGAACGACTCGAATCTAGCCACAAACAATTTAATACAATCAATACAAGCTATATGAATCAATCCCATACGATAAAGCTAAGTTCTTTAACCAAAGTCAAAAAGTCAACCTCGGGCCCACGTCTCGGGATCCAACAAAATTTACAAAATCCGAACACACATTCAACAATGAATCCAACCATACGAAAATCATCCAATTCAACCATAAATCGCCTTTCAAATCCCTAAAGTTCGATCTATGAAGTTTCACAAATTTTTTTCAAATTTTTCCAACTAAAAATACTAATTACATGACAAAAACAACGATAGATTCACATATAATAGCCAAATCCCCATTAGAATCACTTACCCCAATGATTTCCTTGGTAATCCCTCTAAAAATTGCCACAAACCTAGCTCTGTAGGTCAAAAGATGAAGAATGAAAAACCCTCGAACTCACTATTTCTGCCCAGCGATTTTCACTTTTCTGGACCAACAACAGCTTCTGTGGCTCCGCACCTGCGGAAAATCCATTGTAGGTGCGGCTTCAGCTCAAGCCCGACAACCTCCGCTTCTGCGGTCCAAAAAGCGCATCTGCGCTCCCGCTTCTGCGGGCAAAGAGCGCTTCTGTGCACACGCACTTGCGGACAAAGTCCGCTTCTGCGCCCCCAGGCCATCTTGGCCAATTCCGCTTCTGCGACCTCCCTTCCGCAGAAGCGACTCCGCTCCTGCTGATCTCCTCTTGTATATGCGACCAGCAGTCCGTATCTCACCTCCGCATCTGCGCAATTCTAACCGCACCTCCGGCCCATTTCTCACAGATATGGTTGCACCAGACCTGATCACACCAGCTCTAATACAAGTCCAAAATTCGATCCGTTTTCAACCCGAATCACACCTGGGGCCCCATCCAAACATACCAACAAGTCCTAAAATATCATACTAATTTAGTCGATGCATCAAGTCACATCAAACAACATCAGAAATACGAATCGTACCCCAATTCAAGCCTAATGAAAGTAATAGATTTTCAACTTCTACAATCGATGCCGAAACCTATCACACCAACTTCGATTGACCTCAAATTTTGCACACAAGTCATAAATGACACAATGGACCTATTCCAACTTTTGGAACCAAAATCCGAGCCCGGTAACCACAAAGTCAACTCCCAAACTTTCATTTTTTCAACTTTCGGCAATTCAAGCAAAAATTAGCTACGGACCTCCAAATCAATATTCGGACACACTAAGTCCAAAATCACCATATGAAGCTATCTGAACCACCAAAACTGTATTCCCGAGTCACTTACACATAAGTCAACATCTGGTCAACTATTACAACTTAGGCTTCCAACCTTGGGACTAAGTGCCCTAATTCATTCCGAAACATACCTGGGATCAAACCAACCACCCTGGCAAGTTACATAACAACAAACGAACATAAAATAGGCAATAAATTGGGGAATGGGGCTACGATACTTAAAACGATCGTCGGGGTCGTTACACTCTATCTGTTGTGGTTTCACTTTTGATGGTACCGTAGTATTAAGTCTGTTTTGGGCTGCTTATATTATGGCGTATATGTGGCTGATGAACCAAGTAATTGGACTGCTTGCAATTTGACTTATAATTTCTTTCAAGCATCTCTTTTTATTTGTACTACAATCCCATTTCGTTTCAGGTGGACCAAAAGCTGCGTGTGCAGGTTGTGCTGGCTTTGCTACATTTTCAGTTTTGATAGAGAAGTTCTTGGATAGATATCACTAATCCAAGTAAGTAGACAATATGGGTCATTCCTCAGCCTGTGACAATGGAAGTTACACCAACCTACATATATTTATAATATGATCACTTTATTTTTGCCCCCAAAACCACGAGCTTAGGGATGAGCAGTGTTGTAAACATGCCACCAACTTTATACGTCATTTTTACCTTCTGTGCACTCCTTGAATTCTTGCTGGTCCCAGAACTGGGAAAATGTAGCATTTATTTAGACACATTTAAGACATTTTTGTTTAATAATAGTTAGGTTTATGTCCCGTTTGTACTGTATGTATACTTTCTTTTACTCTCCAGTGAAAAATGCTACTCCCTCCGGTAGTGATTTTTTAGATGTTTTCACACAGATTAAGAAATCCACCTTTTAACATTAATTAGCAATGAAATTGACCATGTTAACCTTTACTATCTTTTCACATAAACACTCCTAACACATACTCCAACACTATTTACTCCAATGGCAATCTAGGAAAAAAATAATTAATTCATTCTTGAAATCTGGAAAAATCACATATTTTGGACCACAAAAAAAGGGCGAAGAAATCACTTATTTTGGACCGGAGGGAGTAGCTTCTTAGCTAGTCAATTTAGCCATTAGAAGGTGGGAAAACAATATAATGGTTGTGGGATTATTAGGTATGGCTAATGTTTGGAATTTCTATTAGTCGTTAGTTCAGTTTTGACGAGCGCGAAAGGTAAGTATAAGGCTTCTTATACTCTGAGCAAGCACAAGGAGCTAGTGTGCCAACTGGTTGTATTCCTATGTATGTTCAACTCTGCAGTCCCTGTAGTTCCTATAAGTTAAAAGCTTTTAAACGAGAATACTAGATTGATATGAACTGCCTGTGGTACTTTTATTTTCTAGTAATACCAATTGTTCCTGAGCATGCATGGCGGATAGCTCAAGGTATACGACATACCATTACCAAGGGTGTAGCGGGTACCTTCTGAAATTAGTTGAGGTGTGCGCAAAGTTGGCCTAGACACCATATTATAAACCAAAATAAAAATAAAAATGAGTGCCCCATTTATCAATGCGTTAGTCCTTAAAACTTAAGCCATCGTAGTTGCCTCGGGGCATTTAGAGATTGCGACTAAATTTAGTCAAAACATAGCCGCCTAAGACATTAGTTAAGACAGATCCTTTCTTATTGATATCCACTTCTATCGCCTCGACTTCTCACTTTTAATGTAAGAAATTCATTAAAGAAAGCTGATATGAAGAAAATATCGTTAAGTATATGATGTGCTCATCCTTGCCTCTGTTGAAGCAAATTTTGTCAGGCTTCCATGATCATTTCAATAATATATGTGCATGAATATTAGTTACCCAACCGTTTTTTGAACATCAAATGAGAGATCTGTAGTTCTGTACCCACCACGCGGCGTTATTCCTTTTATTTTTCTTTTCTAGCTATATGGACAAATCATGTGTTCATAGAAGGGAATCTTACATAAATGTCCTAAATAAGCCTAACCTACCAACCTCTAGCCATTAATCATAAACTTACCAAAATTAGCCAAATACATATAAAAGTTGAAAACCCAAATAAATGAGGTTCTTTCTCTCCAAGAATCACACACAAAGATCTCCTTTCATATTTTTAAGCGTGATTGGCAACATTAGATGCAAGACGGAAAGGAAATTTCATGGATGAGATAGCAAATAAGGTGATGAAATACAAAAAAATATAGATATAATATTCCAAAAATCTAAGCAAAAAAGATCCTTTTTCAATGGGTATGGTTGAAATTCATTGAAAACACATAGATGAGTCAATGTACAAAATTTGAGGAAGATTTGAGGTGATTTGGAATGATTTGGCATCAAAATTCGTAGTTAAAATCGAGTTCAAAACATTCTTCTACGACACATTTATCGCGCATGTATCTCATACAGAGGATGTTCATGGTTCGGTTTGGATCGGTTTTTCCCTAAAAAGAAACCAAACCAAGTAAGTCGGTTTTTCAAATATTAGAACCAAACCAAACCAATTAAGTCGGTTTTTCCTTGACTTGGTTTATGTCGGGTTTTGTCGATTTTTCGGTTTTTTCGGTTATTTGTCGGTTTTTTCTTAAATATAAGACATACATTACCAAACACATATTCCGACGATCACATTTTCAGCGTAACACTATCAAATCAATTGCCCTTTGAGAAATCTATTATTTACCAAGATATATTGATGATAATTGAATCAAATACTGATGAATAATTTAAGGACTCAATTAAAAACATATTATTTTTAACACGAAATGGATTTTTACACTTAAAAAAAGAAAATTACCAATCAAACTAGAATGTAAAGGTAAAGAACTATACTAAAAGTGCAAACTATTAACATTTAACTTTTGAAACTTTGTATAAAAATATACATATATATATAGGTGTAATAATAAATTTGAAATAACTACTCCTATAGTCGGTTTGGTTCGGTTTTTTTCTGATTAAAACCAAAACCAAACCAAATTTGATCAGTTTTTAAAATTCAAATTTAAAACCAAACCAAACCAAAAAGTATCATTTTTTTTGGTCGGTTTGGTTTGGTTTTCGGTTTGGTACGGATTTTTGGGTTTTTATGAACACCCTATTAACACAGGTGTACATGGATATACATGTGATACACATTTGATACAAATATGATACATATGTGATACACAAATGATACATAGTGTGATACACATATTTTTTTTTCATGTTCATATTCTACTAGAATTTTCAATTCAAACCACCTCAAAACTCCACCAAATCATCCAAAACTGAGATTCAAGCTCCTTAAGATGTACCCAATCTATTCTAATAACATTCACTCAAAAGAAAGCAAAAATTTGACCTTTTGTTGGCTACAAATAGCTAATTGGCTAATATTGGTAATATTTGGCGAAGATTAGTAATATTTTTTGAATTGACCAATTTTTATAATAAGTTACTTCTAAATGGACATAGCTAGTAGTTTCCGTTCATTGAATGCCTCTAAGCTATATACTTAGATCTAATCACCAATGATATTCTTCAACTATCTTTTTCACCATTCTTGATATTCTTCAACTATCTTTTTCACCATTCTTTCTTTTACAATTTTTGACGTTATATACAAATTAACTCTTCAAGCTTGTAAAAGTTGTAGATTTTGTAGTTGCAATTTTTATTTGTTAAGATGGATTAGTTTGAAATGTATTGCTTGTATATATCCTATGCTTCCTCAGATAAACATCTTAATTTCTCCGACATAAACAAGGGGGAGAATCAAGGCGAATTTTCTCAAACACAGAAACTAGTGGCTGAAAAAACGTGAGGAGAATTTTAAAATTGAGATGTTAGATAGTAAAAAATCAATGAATGCAGACAAAAAAGGATTGCTCAAGTGGTGAAAACTCTCCACATCCAACTCAAAGGTTCTGAGTTCGACTCAGAAAGGGAGCTAAGTAGGGAGCTCCTAGGGAGAATTTAAAAAATATAAAATAAAACATTCACCTAGGAGAGAATTGTCAACCTAGCTATTATCCATTCAAGTACAAGTACTTATTTTCTACATTTTGTTCATCTTGAAGCTGAAGGGTTAACATTTTGGATCCACAAGCACTTATCAGTTGCTCTATTAATTGGTAATCAGACTTTTTGCAAATTTCTTACTATCCCTCTTATCCCATGACATCAAATTGACAAATCCATTCTATTGGTTATTGTTTACCTTCAAAATCGGATAACGATTGAATTTATACGCGATTTTAAGAATACGTGATATAACTTGATACACATTGAGAAAATGGATTAAAATTGAAATTAATGATAAGAAAATGAGCGCAACCACACAAATTGAACAGTCTTAGCCTTGAAGGTTGTTCACCCTCGAGTCAAGAAATGCCTCAATTGATGACAGAACAGATTAACAAGATAATAAGAACTAGATCAATATATTGCTTTTTTCATGCGTGTTACAATGTGTATTACAATTAATCAGACCCTCTTTCTATAGTAGGGGAGTCCTACTTTAGATACAATTTCACAAAAGGTAAGTAATCTCATGATTTCCTAATTATTCGGTCATTTGATACGTGCCGAGATTTTCGCCGTGATATCCGACCGATTACGGATATTTCGGCCTTCCGTTATTCGGTCCGATAATGTTTCCTTGAGCTAGGTCGGAGTTGGGGTCGGTTCCGGAGCTACGGGCTCGATGGTCTTGAAGACGCATGCTCTAACTTCATACCCTTGTTCGATATAATCCGGCGTCGATCTTTAACCCATCACGTTTCAGCCCCGGTCTGTCATGTAATAGATGAGCCCAGTTTCGACTGTATACAAATAGTCTCCTCATTTTTGGGAGAGTAAACGATGAGAAACAATATGAGCACTAGATCTTCGTCTCGATTCTTTGCGCCAGAAACGACAAAGCTGACGAAACGTCTCGTCAGCCACGTCTTTAAAGGCATTTAATATTCGTCAGTTGCTGGTCGGCTATTACGGGTTTTGAACCGTTATTTGCATACTATAAATACCCAAACTTTCATTCATTCAAACTTTATGTTTAAACTTCTTCTACTCATGTTCTTAAAAAAAACCTTTACGTTTTCTAGTACTTGCATCAGATTTCTTGAGGCTTTTGCAAGAATTTCTGCTTATCTTCATTCCAAAACATTAAGCGCGACCTTTTAACTCCTCTTCTTCATCTCTATCAAAGAAAAATGGCGGAAACTTCTAAGACAGTGCCGCAAAAGGAGACTGCCTCTTCATCACGACCTGCCGTCGACGGTACTGCGGTGGAACCACACCCTAAAGAATTTGTTCTTGGAGGGTGTTTGACCGCTACTGATTTCAAGGCCGAAAAAGCTTCTTCGGTACCGGGTCGATGCGAGCCGGTCTCGAGATATATATGTTTGATCACCGATGATCTCCTCTCCAAGATCAAAGAGGATTGCAACTGGGCCGATAAACATGTGGTGGTACCTTCGCCTAAGGAAGTATACTACCCACGTGGAGGAGTTTTTAAGTGTTTACACTTACCCCCCCTTAGGACCGGTCATCATTGCCTTCTGCAAGAGGTACGAGGTGACCCTCGATCAAATTCATCCCTCCTTCTGGAGGATAGCGATTCTCCTCCGCTTTTTTGTAAACAAAATCGAGGGGTGTCCCTTCACCCTCGATCATCTCATGCGTCTGTCAGCCCCGACTCTATCGAGGGGGATTAATTAAACTTGCTCACCGGGCCAGTAGGGCCCCATTCTTGAGTATAGATGAGGATCAGGATCGAGGCTGGATGGGCCGACT